TTTAATTTATACTGTCATTACCGTGAAAGCATCTCTTGTTTGTACATATTTTGCAGTTGATTGTTGTAAATATAATGTTCTTGTATATAAAGACAGTCTCTTTCTGATCTTGCTGTAAATAATTGATTTGTTACTATAGTAATTAGAGAAATAGTGTTTAATATGCCTTATTAGTAATGATAGAAATACAAATGCATTAAGTAAAATTGACCTTAAAATTATGAACGATCTTGGCAGTATAACTATACTTGAATGGCATCTGTAATGCCCACCAATTTATGGGCAGAGACAGAACCTGGAGAGAGAGAAACTGCCTGAAACCATATTTGTAGTCCTTAATATGTTGTACTTAATGATATGCATTTCATTAGATGTGTATCTATTTCTCATCTAAGAAATTAAGAATATTTATCCTTAAAATATCACACAAAGTAGATTAGCTTAAAGTTGGTAAATGTAATTTTATAATTTGCTTTATTATTGAGATGAAGAACACAAGTATTTTAAAAATACAACAAACAAAGTAAAACAAACAGAAAAGTGTAAGTTTGGTTTTAAAAATAATAAAGATCCATAATAACTGTAAACACATTCAAGGAGTAGTTTATTAGGAGAAAAATTTCATAAAGCCAATTTTACTAATTGTTCATAGCCAGATTATAGTGAATTTCACTGTTAAAATGGGAATTTTAATTCAGATGACTGACATGATTTTCTATGACAATTGCAGTTGCAGGTTTTTATATATTTTCCTAGATAATTCTCTGTTCTTTTTTTTCTATAGAGAAAATTGTCTTTTACTCTTCTTTTTTAGACATCTTAAATTAGAAGAGGAACAAATATTTCCCAAAATCCTGAACTGGGCACTTTAATATCACATTTTGGATTATAGCCTCCAGGCATCCTAGCAACCATAATTTGTTTAGAAACACAAAGGTGCCTTAATGAATGGTCTCCACTCTAAAACCTGAGAGAGAGAAAAAGAAGCTGGACTTACAGTACTGCATTCCTAACTTTAACCCTTATAATACAGTACAGTATAAGAGAATATCACAGGTTATTTTTCTAAGTCTCAAACTCCAAGTGTCTGATAAATAAAATGTGTTTTTTCTCTTCTCTTGTGGTTAAAAACGAATAAGAGACATTGTTGATAACATTAAGACTTGTGAGGTGTTCTTCTCCAAATACTTGCATGGAGATTCACATTCACCTACTCGGTACTGAGGGCTTTTTTTATAATTGTTGTTTTAGTTCTGCTACGGACTGAATCATACATAACGTAATTTATTCATTTTAGTGGTATAGTACAAAATCTAAAAATAATGCACAAGTGTATGGGTGCTATTGGCATGCTAAGGCCATAATTTAACAAACTGACTTAGCATGTTGGATTCATGCAATTTCAGCCAAAACCAAGCCATTTGGTCTGTCGTGGGAAATAAGCTAGTAAACAAGTTCCTATTCTTGCAAACAATGATGCCATTTCTTAGCTCATGGTGAGAAAGTAGTCACATAATTAAACTTGGTTGTCTGAATGTTATAAGACACCCATCACTGCATCATTTTAACTAGAACAATTACATTCTTGTTTCATAACATACCTGGAAAGAGGAAAGAGGCCAAAGTACTGAGGTTATGATTATTAGGAGTTGATTCCAGTTCCTATTCTTGAACTTCCTGACAGACTTAATGGGATATGACTCCTCAGGCCCAGTGTATCTAATAATGTCATCTGCTTTCAGGATTCTAATATTTTCACCTGAATAAGCCAATGTGCTTCACTTTAATGCCCCATTTTAATTTGTCCTTTTATTATTGGCTGACACAAATTGCTCATTGGTAAAGAATCAGTAATATAATCTAGCAAGGGATTCTGCTCCCTCACATAATTAAGGCTTGCATCATAGCCAGAAAAGACAGCCTGAGGCATGGGTTGTAGATTCTTGATTCTGGAAGGAAAGCCTGTTGATTTTCTCCCAATGGATTGCATCAAATATTCTCCTTATTTCTTGTTTAAAACAAAGGATATTTCTGGGAAAGCATGGTGATTATGTGCATCTCATAATCAGTGAAAAGTTTCTGAAGTTGCAGGCTTACTCAGTGTTTCAATTTCATTGGAAGGCTATACCATACTGGCCGATACAGATATAATACATAATGTATTCAGGGAATTTATAGCATTGTTTACATGTAGTGTAGTGTACTGGATTCCTGTTCCAACTGATTGCTAGAATAGTTTTATGCAAAATCTGTTTTGTTTGCACCTTCATTTACTTCTAGCTTATGCTGAATAAAGGTAGACTAACATACTCTCCTTGGCCTCTTGTCATAAAATCACAATACAAATAATTTTAAGGATGTGTAGAACAAAATCTAACCAAATGAGCTATTAAAGCAGAATCACCACTGTCAAGTGCCTTTTTGCCTCAGCATTTACTGTAAGTTGTATTCATAGAAATATGTTGTTCCTAAAGATTTTGATTTGCTGACTTGATGGCACATAATAAGTAGTCAAGACATTGATGGATATTCTTCATGATGGTTTGTATCTAACCTAGTCCTTGAGGTCTTCCAATGGTATATCCATTGCCACTGCATTAAACATTACAGACGACAAAGACACCTGCAACATTAATTTGTAATTACTATAATTGTTTCCCAAATCTCAGTTTTCCCATCCTGCTGGCTGCAATTTGCTTTTCATAACTACAGATACATTGTTTCTACCTTTACATAACCTCAAATTGGAATTTTTATTTAAAATAAATTGCATCATGGTAATAGATAACATCACAACGCTAAGCAACACATCTGATTGGCTGGGTGGGATATCATTCAAAATAAGGCTAGAGCTTTCTAAATTTCTCATGTAGATTAATTCCAGGGAGCAACAGAAAAACCATGGAGCCACTTAAGAAAGCCTTTAACAATAAATTCAAATTTTGATAATGGAGAAATATGACAAAAAGTATTTGAAAGCAGTGAATTGTTATGGGGAATGAGGATAAAACTGTTAAGTAGCCTTTACCAAACTGGTGCATTCTGGATCAGTGTTTCTCAACCTCAGCAACTTTAATATGTGTGGACTTCAGTTTCTAGGGTTCCCTAGCCAGCCCCATAAAACAGTCTCCATATTAAAGAAATTGTACTCAGATAAACCATTTTACCATTTCTGTGATGACACTATGTACACCTGCAGCCTTAGCATCTATTAATTTTGAGCAACCTTTTCTACTTCCTTTTTATCCTTTTTTTTTCTTGGATACTACTCATTACTCAATAACTCCATGGCAACATAAAGCCAGAAAGAAAACTGAAGGGTGGCAGGCATGATATGGCCCTCTCACAATCTCCTCAAGTCTTCTTGATCTCAAGCCTTGAAAGGTGGGGGGGGGGTGTAAGAAAGAGTTTGACTAATTCCGCTATCTTGCATTGATAACTTTCTGGAATAAATAGGGTAACTTGGTATATTTTCATACTGGATGTGACCAAAGAGTATTTGCGGCTGTTGTTGAAAGTAATAAAAAGGAGTAAGCCTTCATCACATAACATGGGTTTGAATTTAACATGCTCTTGTTTGGTCTGCGGGATGCTTTTGCAACCTTCCAGAATTGGTCAATGAATTGCCCACAGGATTAAATGACTTTGACATGACATAGATGATGAATTTATTTTTTTAATCACATTAAGTAGCACCTTGAAGACATGGAACAGATGTTTCATTCTAGCACTGCAGGGAGGCTGGACTAAGCTGTAAAGGACAAGAAATTAGCCTGAATCAAAAAGCCTTGAAAGTCACAAAAATAAGAAAAGTGCCAATGCTAATTAAAATAAAAAGTAAGTGGAGGCAAGAGATAACATCTTCTAATTAACCTTTCACAGAAAAAAGGTGGTGGAATTCTAGGAGCTGAAGCATTGACATATCTGATGTTAGAGTAAGATGATTGTTTCCTGGCAGAATGTCACTAAAAACTCAGATAATCAGTGTAAGAAGCAAACAACTATAGCTCTCTGGTGCTCTCTTGTGATCACTTTAACTTGAAATTGTTGGTAGGCAATCTTAAGAATTTTAGAGGGTCCCAAGTATAAAATTAGAAGGTGTTAGTCAAAAGACCTTGTACACTGTCCTGTTTCTTAGTATATCTGTTGAAGAGGGGCAGGGCTTAAAAAAGCAAAGACACAAGTGAGGGCAACAAATGAAAGACAGTGATATCTCATACTATCACATGTGGAAAGTTTCATGAAGGACTTTGATTCACTTTTCAAATATCCAATATTTAGGCTAAACATTTTTGTTAAAGCAATAAACCCGAAGTAGGGTTGAATTTATAGAAAAGCTGAAATAGAGTTTAATTTATAGGAAAAAAAACACATTTATTTTAATTAGCCATTGCTTACCTAAACAATAAGTAGAGAAGAAAATCAGAAAGAAAAGCACATGTTAAAAAGCAAACCATTCCTGATTTTCTTTTCTACATGTAGAATCCCACAGGAGCCATTTTTGTTTAACTGAAAGAAAGGCTGTCAGAGTGTATCTCCTGAGTAAATATTTGAGGTTATGGATTAACTAGTGTCCTCTGCATTCAATGGTGGAAGAATAGACTACTGTGATTCAGCCAGGGAGGTCTGTAAGTCTTTTTTGTTGTTCATATGTTTCATTTAAAATCCTAAACAATATTTTTACCTAAATCAAATGCAAAGAGGGATAAGAAATGCAGACTATCATCAGGGAAAGTTTAAAAGAGAATTGACAATACATTTAGTTTAGTTCTGTTATCTTGTGTATGTTTTGTTTTGGTTTTGGATTGGGTTTGGGTTCACTTAAACATGCAGTGACTAGATTTTGAACAGAAATTTTAAAAACACCTTAAATTGAATTATTGTCAGATAAACAGAAAGTTGCCAACTAGTTAATTAGATAAAGAGACAGAAGTGGTAGATGGGAAGACGTTACTTCCAAGGCCAATATATGGTGAAAAACCTAAGAGTAATGTTAGACTATGCAGGAGACTTTGGAGGCCCTACTGTAAGAATCAAATATTAGCCTGTGCTTTCTTAAATACATAATCTTGAAAATATATAAAAGCATGTATTTCTCTAAAACGAATCACCATTTTTTTTGGTGGTTGTTCTCATAGTTGTGGAATCGGTTGTGCAATGGGTAGAATCATTTCTCTTCTGGCGTTTTCAGCTGCCTTCATATTGCTTAATGGATATGAAGCCTCAGGTATGTCATCCCTTTGAACATCAGGTTAAACATTATATTCTGCCAGCCACTGCACAGTCTCTAAGCATAATTGAAAGAACCCAATGTCATTTGGATTCTGTACAATACAATCCTTTTCCCAATTATTCCTAGTTACACACTGGACATATGGGGCATATTTTACCATCATCCTGATGTGAAAACAAGTGCATGCAGAATTACACAATTTACCTCACTTTGAAAAAATTGGTGTTGCAGCATAAGAGTTTACATTTCATTAACATAGTTTGGATTTTACAGAATAGCACTAGAAGCAATAATTATAATCTCCATTGGCTTCATTATTTTACTCCAAAGCATGTTTTTTCTCACTTCAATAATTATTTATCATATCAGGTAAAATAATATAACACAAATATGTTTCTGAAACTAGTAAGATAAAAATACCATAAATACTCCATTTGCCCCATTCCCAAGTGTTTTACAGCAGCCAAGAAGCCAATCGTGTCCTGAAGATTCAAAAGCGCGCAAATTCTTTCTTGGAAGAATTAAAGGCAGGTTCCTTGGAAAGAGAATGTTTAGAAGAACAGTGTGATTTTGAAGAAGCTAGTGAAATATTTGAAACCATGGAAAAAACTGTAAGTTACTTTGAAAGACTGGGAAATAGAGAGAAGCTTCATTATCCAGTTGAAAGAGCAGAATAAGCTAAAGAGCAGAAAGAAACATCCTAATTTAGCAATCTGACCCAAAATGTTCTCTACCCCAAGCAGCTGGTGAGACTACTCTTTGGTGGGATTAGACTGTATACTACCAAATTATCACTCCTAACATTTGCTACCAAAACAAACACTTTGACTTCTTATTTGTTTTGGCTTCTCTTGGCCTTGGTTGATTATTGTGGAACTTGATTCAAATTGGATGGTTTATATGGGTGTACCATTACATTCAATTAAGTCCACTGTTACTATTTGTAATGCCCATTGCATTGGCAGTTGAGTTTATGTCAAAACAATAACATCACTGCTTAAGCAAATATTGGAAACATTTGTAATATTTTCATTGTGCTGGACAGATGATAGCGGATATGATGGATAAATGACTCTGAATAATTGTTCACTCTGTCATTATCAGAAACAATCTGCAAAATGTTGATGCTATATAATATGGCTATTTATAGAAAAGATTTTTAGAGTTTTAAATTATTATTTTTTTCTTTTCAGTTAACTTTCTGGGCAAAATATGTTGGTGAGTAAAGATGTATTGAGTGAACCATGTTTATATCTTCTCTTCATTATGTATTTACTCCATTTTAGTTATGTTCCATTAGTTAATTACTTGCTCAATTTTATGCTATTAAGAGAAGTAATTATTTCCCTTTCAGGGGAAGAACTGGTTTCAACTCAGTTCCATCAAAGCTGAATAGCAGTGGGTCTTAGGCGCCCCCTGATATCACAAGTTATTTTTCTATCCTTGCAAGTGGCAGAGATTTCACACACAGCCCTCAGTGCCAATCATGCCTGTTCCTGATTAGGAAGCCTTGCTTACTATCATTCATGACCTAGGCCTTTGGCAAATTCATGTTGTGTGCTAGTTGCACCCTTTCCTGGATTATGAGTCCCTGCAAACAGTTACTCATGCCCTGATCATCTCACATCTGAACTATTGAAACACTCCCTACATAGGGCTACCTTTGAAGAGTATTTGGAAGCTACAACTGGCACAAAAAGCAGCTGTGTGGACAGTTCTTGGGATCCTTAGGGTGGTCCATGTAATACCTCAGTTGTATGAGCTGTATTGGTTTTCAAAGTTGTCAATTCAAGATGTTGGTTATTACTTTTAAATCCCTTTGTGACATGGGTTCCTCCGTCTGTCTGGAGGAAGATAATAATTGTGAGTTCCTGATCTCCTATTATGGGTTCTTTTTATTTTAATTGAATTCTTGGTGTGGTTTTTTTCATTATTGTGAGCACCCACAATACTCACAACTCATATTGGTTGAGTTACATGGCCATATAAATTTCTTAATTTTCTTAAATAAATAAATAAATAAATGGCTAGATTGGAATGAAACTTTCAGTTAATTGAGTATTTATTTTTATAGCCTTGTGACTCCACAAACAGTTAGTCTAAATTAACTCAAATAATGCAAACTAAATTTTGTTCACCAAGAAAAAAGAAGCTGTTTGTGCTGTTAATGTGACAGTCAACTATCCCAGTTCTTCTTAGGTTAGGGCTATAATATCTGAGTTGCAGAAATCAAGATAACTACATAATAGAAAAGAATTAAATATTTCTTTCTTTCCTAACATATGGGTGATTGTCTAGATATTTTGCTACCGGCATATAGTAGACCTGTTTTTAATTCCTCAGTTTGATGAATATTCAAAATCATCTTAAGTGCCAAGCAATAACACTGATCAACAAAAAAAATCTGCAGAGTGAAGTCTTGCAATAGCAATACAAATATAAAATGATAAAAAATGCAAAAGAATGATTTTTCATCCCATTACAATTTAGCGATTTACATATATCAGATGAATTTATGAGCAGCTAAGTATTTTACAGCTCTTTAACATTCAGCTTTCTAGCAAGAGAAAACCAAACCATTTTCCTTTCCAGGTTTCTGCTTGAATAGTGATTCCACTTGGAAAGGGATTGTGTGTTAATTTAAGTAGATACCTTTCTGTGGTTTGGGCTAGAAAAGTTACAGGGTGAGCTAAAGGTAGATCTAATAATAATGATAATGATAAAGGTGGAAGGGACCTTGGAGGTCATCTAGTCCAACCCCCTGCTGGTGGCATACTCAGTAATTATAATTATAACAAAGTAAGTGCCTATTGGTTTAACAAGAACAACAACTATTTTATTCCTCCTGTCCTAGTATATAGAAATATTGGAATAGCCTGAAATAGATTTTGTTAAAGGAATAGAATAGAATAGAGCTGGAAGGGCCCTTGGAGGTCTTCTAGTCCAGCCCCACGCTCAAGCAGGAGAACCTATACCATCTCAGACAAGTGACTGTCCAGTTTCTTCTTAAAAACCTCCAGTGATGGAGCGCCCACGATTTCTGAAGGCAAGCTGTTCCATTGGTTAATTGTCCTCACTGTTAGGAACTTTCTCCTTAATTCCAGGTTGCCTCTCTCTTTAATCAGTTTCCAACCATTGTTTCTTGTCCTGCCCTCTGGTGCTTTGGAGAATAATTTGACCCCCTCTTCTTTGTGGCAGCCTCTCAAATATTGGAATACTGCTATCATGTCTCCCCTATTTCTTCTTTTCTTTAGACTAGACAAATCCAAGTCCCGTAGCCGTTCTTCATATGTTTTAATTTCCAGGGCTTGGATCATCTTAGTTGCTCTTCTCTGAACTTTTTCCAAAGTCTCAACGTCTTTTTTATAGTATGGTGTCCAAAATTGGTTACAGTATTCCAGGTGTGGTCTCACTAAGGTTTTATAAAGCGGTACTAATACTTCGCATGATCTTGATTCTATGCCTCTGTTTATATATGACCTTCATTTCTCATCCACAAACCTGATACCTACTCATCTCTGTACACGTGAAATGAATATAGAATATATAGAAATGAATATATCTCTCTCTGCCTAAACAAATATCTGTATTTTACTGTAATCTTGAAAAAAGGATTACATTCCAAACAAGTTCCTGCGTCTCTTTTTCCTAATATCTTCTGAACATCATTTACTCAAAAGAAGTGAATCATAACAAAGGGAAGAATTTGTGTGGCTGAGAGAAAGAGGAACTGCATTCTGTACATACTAAGGAGTCAGATTAGAAGGGGAGATATCCAGGTTCAAGTCCATCCTCAGTCACAAAAAGTCACCAAGTGGCCAGTCACTACCTCTCAGTTAAGTTACTTACAGGGTTATTATTGTGGGGACAAAATGAAAGAACGTTTCCATTTAAGATACTTTGAGCTCTTGGAGTAAACATGACTAGAAATACATCAAGTGTTAAGTAAGTACTGTGAAGATCTGTGTGATCTGGGTTTACTGATGCTTTTTTTTTTTAGATGGAGATATGTGTGTTTCCAGCCCATGTTTGAATGGACTCTGTAAGGATGGCATTGGGCGATTTGACTGCATATGTAACAAAGGCTGGGAGGGACGATTCTGCCAAAATGGTAATGCTACTTTTGATACTCAGATTTTTTATCACTAATATTATACCATGGGTCCCTTATCTTATCTCAAACAACTCTGATTGATTACTTACAACTATATAATGTGCATATGTGATAGCATCTCCAATGCAGCCCTTGTTACCAACTTCCATTCAGCAAGATTAATTTATAATCATAAATGTATGGGATGGTAATACAGGTAGCCCTTAACTTACAACCATTCATTTAACAATAATTCAAAGTTATGATGACTTTGGAAAAAGGACTTATGACGTAGTCACATTTACAACTGACACATTTACCACTAGTTGTAGGGTCTAGGTCAGAAGATTGTGATTTGCTAGACACATGATTTTGCCAATTTCATTTTTCACATTGCAATAGCAATAGCACTTAGACTTATATACTGCTTCACAGTGCTTTACAGCCCTCTCTAAGGGGTTTACAGAGCCAGCATATTGCCCCCAAGTATCTGGGGCCTCATTTTACCGACCTCGGTAATATAGAAGGTTGAGTCAACCTTGAACCTGTCAGGATTGAAGTTCTGGTGTGTGGGTAGAGTGTGCCTACAAAACTGCATTCTAACTTTTGTGCCACCACATAACTTTATAGGGAAAGGATATATGATATTAACTGATCCATAGTGATTAATTATTTTTTTGTCATAAGAACATGTCATTCCATTGTATTTTTGCTGCCCAGAGGTCATCTACACTAACTGCTCCATTGCCAATGGTGGCTGTGAACATTTCTGCCATGAGAGTGAAGGAAACAATGGACAATACCGTTACTGCAGCTGTGCTTTGGACTACCACCTGATGGATAATTATACTTCTTGTGAAGCTTCAGGTAAAGAGATGATCAGGCAAACATACATTTATGTAAACATTATTTAAAGAGTGTTAGATTTTGCAGTGTGATTTTTAAAATTTACCATTCTTGTATTGCTTAGAACATAATAATCATGAGAATATTATTCAGTACACTATAGAAATATTGCTGTTTATTTTACTGAGGAACAAGCATTATATACAGCCTTGTTCAAAGAAAAATGCATTTAGGCTCACCAAAAATCACATAATGGGTTTTTTTCCAGAATACCAGCTGGCTGTTTCCCTAAGACTTTTAAATACTTGTGAAAAAGTAAGTTTATTTTCAGAATTCTTCTGAAAAAAGTGAGAAAACCCTAACTCTGAGTCCACACCTCCCTGTGTGACGAAAACATGTAAAGAGCAAAATCCATGATCAATTTTGCAAGCAGTTCTAAAGGCTTAATGTTTTGCCAACTGAGCTGTCATGGATTGTGCATTGAATAAAATTTCCTACATCCCTTATTTCTAAAAAGAAACTGGTGTTCTTCCATGATCCATTTTATATTTTATTTAAAATTGTTTTGTTTTAACTTTTCTACTTAGAAAGTGCTACGAAAGTATCTCCTGAGAGCCTGTTATGTAGGTTGTTAAGAGCCCTGGTGGTGCAGTGGTTCGAATGCTGTACTGCAGGCTACTTCTGCTGACTCCTGGCTGCCAGCAGTTTGGCAGTTTGAGTCTCATGGCTCAAGGTTGACTCAGCCTTCTATCCTTCTGTTGGTAAAATGAGTTCCCAGATTGTTGGGGGCAATAGGCTGACTCTGTAAACCGCTTAGACGGGGGAGGGCTGTAAAACATTGTGAAGCAGTATATAAGTTTAAGTGCGATTGCTATTGTTAAGAAATACAAATGAATCCTCAGCAACACAAGGTTATGAATTATGATCCTGGTAGGATGGCAGCTGTGCATTCAGGGGCCTTCAAAATAATTGTGACTGACAGCTGATCATTAACTGGAGGGGTGGGAAGTGTATGGAATAAATACCAATCCTAGGTACTGCGTAAGCAAACATGGCTTTGGAAACTCCATGAGTAAGACATACATTTTTATTGGGATTTTCTTGGTATGACGATACATTGAATTAGAGATGGGTGACTTTGCATCATACAAATTACCAGCAGAAGGCATGTTCTGTTAGCAAAGAAAGACATGAATCAAATACCTTTGAAATTCCATTGATTTTAGTAATGTTTAAGATGTAATTCTAAATATACTTACTACGAAGTATGTTTCCTTAAGAACAGGAGGATTTAATTCCAAGTAAACAAGGATGAAACAGCACTCTTCAGTCTGAATCAAAGCGTCATTTCCAAACTATTTCTCCACCCCTCCCAAATATGCTGAGATTACTAGAAATCTCAGATTCAATATAGAATCTATAGAAACTTGAAATAAGACAATTAAAGAAGATTCAGTGTGACAGTTACTCAATGAATTAACTGCAACGTGCCACTTTATACTTGGGACAGGAAAACATTTTTGAAATAAGGTTTCCACCTGTAATAACCCAACATAAATGTTGTTATGAGCTTCTTGGAATCTGAGAAATGGATAATGGTTTGCCAAATATTACTATCTCAGAACATCCTACATGTAACTTCATTGCTGGATTTCAGCAGTTCCTAGTGGCTAAACAGGAGCAGGGCTTTTTTTGTCATAGAACGCCCAGAACGGAGTTCCGGCACCTTTTTTGGATGGAACCTTGTAGGGTAGGCAAGGCGGGTTGTATGATGTGTGTGAGTTCCGGCACTTTTTTTTTTTTTTTTTACAAAAAAAGCACTGAACAGAAGAATTAGGAAATCTGTATTCCAGCAAACTTGGAGATAAAGAGACAGTTCTGAAATAAAAAGCATCCAGTTTTCCAGACTTCTCTTTTCTACTCATGAAAATATTCAGGTATTACTGAACATTTGCCACAAATAAATAAAACACAACCTTACAGTCATATAAGTATAAAAATACTTAACTTTCCTTATAAAAGCCAAAATAATTGGAAGAACATTTCCCACTATTTGAGAAATTGAGAGGGCAGCTTATAGGAATTACAAAACCTTTAGAAAGAGGCAAAATACCAACCAGCTGAAAAATCTTGGTTGAATATTGGGATAATTGTTAAGGTATTATAGTGGTATTTCAAACTTTCTTTTCCTTCCTTTTTTTGCAGTGGAGTATTCCTGTGGGAGAGTTGTGGAATCCAAATTCAAGGTTGCAAAAATAATTGGGGGTAGTCCTGGAAAAAGAGGAGACAGCCCTTGGCAAGTATGTAGTAATGAAATCTTCATTTTGTAGTAGCTTTGATCTTTCTGTGAAATGGGCATCTGTTTTATCCCATGTATTGGCCTGTAAGTCCTTTTTATTTCAGTGTCTACAACATCAGATACTGTTCATTATATTTTCTTGACAAATACCGCCATGTCAAAGCAAAAGGATTTGAATATACCACATTGGAAAACTTTTAGGCATCTAGGAAACATATTTAAGAATGGGAAGATGACTTAAGGGCTACAAAGAGGAAGTGGATGACCTATATCACAAGAATGAGTAGGGCTGAGTTTTGGGTGGGTTTTTTTAATTGTGATATTTCTATGTTAGGACTTACAGTATAGTTTTCCACTTCAAAATGGTAGGAAGCTATGCTGCAACTATAGTCAGGGATTGCTGAAGTCTGAAGTCTACAAAAAAAGAGGATTTGGAGCTGATGCATTGTATAATGGATTCTAGTTACTATAACCAGTTAAGGAGACCTGATTTTTCCAAATTGCTTTGTTGAACAACATACCACCTTCACTTAAGCTTACGCCACACAGATGTCTAAGAATGGAATTCTAAGGACTCTCATCCTGGTATTGGGATATACAGTCACTGCATTTTAATAAAAGACATAAACTGGGCAATGCAGAAACAATTGTAATTTAAAATTAGGGCTGACAGCACTTTGAATCCTCACCTGCAACTCCATTTTAGAATTATTTCAAGACAGTAAAGAATTTTCAGAGCAGATGGCAAGCGCTCAGCCTGAGCTGTCACCAAATTAATAATTCCATTTGAGTTATTGTAATATAATATATTCAAACAGTTTGCTGAGCATAAAAGTGACAACTTCAATACCAATTGGAAAGATAAGTACATCAGAAGAAATGTAAATTTAATTTTATGCAGTTCCTACAGTATTTGTCCCAGTGATTTCCATTCCATTCAGAATATCCTGACCAGCAAAACATCCAAGGACTATTGCATTTGACCTAACAATTTAGTAAATTCAGATTCTATGATCACCAGCAGAATGGCGTGGGCAAGGGAACAGATTTAACAGCCTTTTCCTCCTTCCATTGCAGGTTATGTTGGGCAATAGTGCAGGAGAATTTAAATGTGGTGGTGTTCTCATTCATCCTGCTTGGGTATTGACAGCTGCACATTGTGTGTTTCGAGAATCGAGAATCAAACTGATCCTTGGTAAGGAAAACCCTAATGCCTGTATTCTTTTTTAATACGGCATGTGTCAATAAGTCTTTTACCCTATATAATGCGGTGTTTCTCAATCTCACCAACTTAAAATGTGTGGATGTCAATTCCATCTCAAAGTTGCTGAGGTTGAGAGACATTGGTATAATGCCAATTTTTGTGGAGATTGCTGAATTCCTAACTCTGGATAGATACATCCATCAAGTTTGCATGGCTAGTCTAGAGAAAAGAAGGACTAGTGGGGAATATGATAGCAGTATTCCGGTATTTGAAGGGCTGCCACAAAGAGGAGGGGGTCAACTTATTTTCCAATGCACCAGAAGGCAAGACAAGAAATAATGGATGGAAACTAATCAAAGAGAGAAGCAACCTGGAATTAAGGGAAAACTTCCTAACAGTGAGGACAATTAACCAGTGGAACAGCTTGCCTTCAGAAGTTGTAGGTGCTTCATCAATGGAGATTTTTAAGAAAAGACTGGACAACCACCTATCCAAAATGGTATAGGGTCTCTTGCTTGAGCAGGGGGTTGGACTAGAAGACCTCCACATTCCTTCCAGCTCTATTCTGATTGATTGATTGAGAGCCAAACTAAAATGATGTTCTTCTAAAAAGATTCTACCGGTATATCTGAACTGATGTTTCCAGAAATAACTCTTAGTAACAAGAAATTAAAATTTAAACTTTGTTAAATCTTGCCTGTGAGGCAAGGAAACTGACAATAAAAATCCAAGGCTATGAACAGGCACAAGCATTTACAGTTGACATCCGAGCTATGATTGCAGTCTCAATAAAATTTAAGAAAAACAAAAATATCTTACCAGTAGCTTATTCAGAGATAAGAAGGTATGAGATCAAGGTTTCCCAGAACACAAGATTTGTTCTATTAATCATCATCCTGTTTTCAGGTAGAGGCTTAAATGCTGGAGGCACCTAGTCATCAATCAGATTTGATCTATTGGGAGAAACAGCATTCTCCTAAGGAGACCATTTGCTTTAGGCTCCTAAGTACACAGCCTATTCACATTTCTACTTCTTGATCCTAGACCTAGGGTCTGAGATCTGAGTTTCAAGGGGCATAATTGGAAGAGTGTTTCTTCAATGATTTTATTGTTTATTGAATTTATAAAACATCCATCTCACTAATAAAGTGACTCTGGGTGGCTTTCAGAAGATAAAAATAAATATAAAAAGAATTAAAATAAAAAGAATTGTATAAAAATTAGAATCAAGAGACAGATGTCACAGAAGTGAGGTCTTCCTCTTACCCCATCAACCATCTCCAGCAAAGAGTGCTCCCATCAGGACTCTAAGCCAATCAGCAAACCAGGCCCTTCCAGAAAACCCAGAGGGTAAGAGCGGATCTTACCTCCAGTGGTAGAATGTTCCACAGGCAGAGACCACAGTGGAAAAGGCAAACTCCTTAATCCTGCCAGGGGAAGTTCCTTAATAGATGCTTACATCATCTGTTTACAAGAGTTGAAAACAAGCTTATGGGATTTTTTTTTTAATCTAAGAGCAGGACCAAAGGATTTATAGGTAGTTCTCAACTTACAACCATTCGTTTAGTGACCATTCACAGTTACAACAACCTTGAAAAAAGTGACTTATGACCAGTTTTCACACTTATGATTATTGCAGCAACCCAATAATCATGTGATCAAAATTCAGGTGCTTGGCAACTGACATGTATTTATGACGGTTGCCCTGTCCTGGGATCATGTGATCCTCATTTGTAACCTTCCCAGCCAGCTTCTGACAAGCAAAGTCAATGGAGGAAAGCCTGATTCACTGAATGACCACATGATCCACTTAACAACTGCAGTGATTCACTTAACTACTGGGGCAAAAAAGGACGTAAAATGAGGCACAACTCACTCATTTAAGTCCCTGCTTAGCAATGGGCTCAACTGTTAATTATAATAGTTTTTTAAATTTAAATAAAAAATATAATGAAACAGTGATACACATTGGAACAACAATTGTAGAAAACCCTTAATTTCACCTATAGGTTGAAGGGATCTAAGCTGATAATTGCTGATCATGGACTTGGGTGTATAGCGGCTAGCTTGATGGAACATGTGAAAATAGATATAATTCAATTTAATTCAATTTATTATTACAGCCAAAGGCCAACACATAAAGTAAACATTCAAATAAAACAAAACTAAACAGAACCAACAATAGAAGACATAGCAATATATTACAATTAATGATGTAATCAATGGGTGACCAAGGTCTCCCTAGTTTTACAGACAGTGTAACAAAACCTAGCTACCTTCAGAAAACTGAATTATACTGGCCTGACAATAAAAATACATTGAGTATAGTCTAATGCTGGATAAAAACACGTAATAAAATTAATTATAAAAGATTATTAAAAAGATCTAAAATGTTTATTTATGTTTCTGACGAATCCCCAGTGCTGCTGCGCAGAATCTAGCCACCTGTGCCATGATCACTGCCTGCTCATCCTTAAGCAGCCACTGGAGATAAATACTTTCCGAACGACCAGGATACCTATCCATTATGAGGCGGATATGGTTTTTCCGAATAGCTCTATAGAAGGAACATCGAAGGAGTATGTGTCCAATGGTCTCCACCTCTGAGCCACAGGAGCAGAGTCTTTCAGCCAATAGTGTCTTTTTATACTTGCCGTACAGGACGGCTGATGGAAATGCATGGCACCGTGCAAGCGAGAATGCTTTCCGGTGGTTTACTGACTCCAACTGATTAAGATACCTGGCAGGTGTAACCACATATCTAACAGAGTCTGGAGCCAGAAACAGCGGGGCTATACCTAAGTCCACTTGCCTCTTGATGTCCTCTACCCTTTGACGCAAGGTTTGTTTTGCTTGGTCGTAGTCCAATTTGAGAATTGAGGCTGACGAGAAGCCTAGTTTGGCAAGGTTGGACTCAACTGCCTTGATCCATGAAGAGGAGAATTTATCTTGAAGAATTAATGGAGCAAGGCCTTGTGGAAAGCAAATAGGCCTTAGACAGATGTTTAAGGAAGCTATACAGGTTCTTGCTTCGACTTTTATCAATCCTGTCTCCAGTAACTGGTTGTAACTGCAAACGGTCATTAAATGAACTGTAGTAAGTTGAGGACTACCTATACACACAATGTAATAAACTGGATTAGGAGTTTTTCTCTTTTTCTCACAGTATTACTACCTGACATTAGTGGTGAAAGATAAAAGACTGATAAAAGAGGACTTGTTAACACCGCCTCTTTTTAAACTATGAAGATATAATGCTGTCCATATTAATTTTGATGGCTTGAAAGGAGGAAATTTGACAAAGTTGTTGATGTAATTAACTGTCTGTCTATCACTCAGTGCCAGCTGTTGAAAAACACAAATAGGAAACTGGGGACTACCCAGAGCCACTCTTTGGTCACAATAGGAAGAAAATGCTGTGTTAGATTAGAGCAGGGGTGTCAAACTGCCTGCCTGCGGGCCGGATGCGTCATGGCAAAACCGCATCCACCCCATTGCCAGCAATGGCAAAAAAGTGGCGGTACGTCGTGACACGTCATGTGACATTGCAAGTTTGACACCCCTGGATTAAAGAAACCTATTATCTGTTCCATGCAGGCTTTTCTTAATTTTTTAAAAATATCTGGCATTCACATATTTCATCTCTTGACTAGAAGCCTGTAGCTCATGTTTTGGTTTGAAAAAGTGAAATGTGTATAAAATGTTTTCTTGCATCTCCTATCTTCAACCAACAAGCTATACAGAATGAATGGTCTTCAGTCTACCCACCTGTGTTCTAATTTTCTCCATCCAATTCCATTATATGCATATTTTCTCCTTTCTTTCCTTTTTTCTTTTTGTATCTGATTTTTGGGTTAACAAGAATAATATAGTAGGCAATTTTCCTACTGCATGCAAATCTGTATTATAATTGAATAGCTATTCCTATTAGCTAATAGCTATAATAGGAATAATAGCTTATTCCTATTATAGTTCAGAGTTTGCTTATTCTAATATTCAGGGAGAAAATACAACCTTTATTAAATGTCTTTTTTAACTGTTTGGAGAAAGATAGACTTGGCTTACTTTCAAGAAAATAATATTTCCAAATTTTGACATTACAGGGAAATATCACCGACGGCGAATAGATGAAAGTGAGATAACTATCATTGCTGACAAGATATTCTCTCATGAAAATTACTCTTCAGACACCTATGATAATGATATTGCAATCCTACATCTATCCCACCCAGTTATTGTCAATAAGTATATTATACCCATTTGCCTGCCTACCCATAACCTGGTAAATCAACAGTTGATGACAGAAGGGATTCAAACAATAGTAACAGGCTGGGGAAGCCAGAGTGCGAATAGTAAGAAGAATTTCTCCTCTGTTCTCAATTTTATTGAAATCCCTGTAGCATCACGGAATGACTGTATCCATTCTATGTGGAATTCTTTAACAGATAACATGTTCTGTGCAGGGATACCAGGAGATATACGAGATTCCTGTCATGGAGACAGTGGTGGTCCTATGGTTGTAAAATTCAAGAACACCTGGTTCCTACTTGGATTAGTAAGTTGGGGAGAAGGCTGTGGAGATCCTAATAATTTTGGAATCTACACTAAGATCAGCTCATATCTTGACTGGATCAGTCAGAAAATGAAATCATAAAATCATTATGCTAATGATCAATAAAAACATAACATACAAGTGACTCTGCTTTGTGTTCCTTTCTACAATAGTCTCACTATTTTATGTATCACAGATTCTTTGCAAAAAACGTTGGCAAATTCATTTTGGTCAAATGCAACAAAAGTTTTCAATGACAATCCTGGATTTACAACAATTTTGGTTTCAAGAAAACAATTGGGGACTTTCCCAACTGTTTGATAGACAGTTCAGCTCAAAACTGGGTATCAGGATGCAAACTGGAACTTCTCTCTATTGCCCACAAGTAGCTTCTTTCTGAATGCCATTTCCAGTTGGTGCCTTAGTTTACTAAGTCCCTCTGAAAGATGATGTCTGGAGTGGTAGTGGTGAAAGACAAAAAGCCAACTCAACCATAAATGAATCTATGTCCATGTTTGTGTCTATAATGTGGTGATAAAGGAGGTGAAACATACATATTTCTCCCTTATTGCAGAATTTAACACCATCAATCATATTATCTTACTGGACCTCCTGTGGTGGTTAGGGATTGAGGAAGAGTTTTGCAGTGCTTCTTCTTCATTCTCTATGAATAGTTTCAATCTATTGTAGAAAAGGTTGGCTAAGTGACCCATCATTTACCAGGTACCACAGGAATCAGTCGTCACCCCCTTGATTGTTAACATTTACAGTATGTGAAACTATTGGGAAAGGTCATCCAACAATTTAGAGTAGGATATCATTAGAATGCTGATGATATCAAAGCATAAATTATTACTCTGAGTTGTGCAGAGGTGCTGCTATTACTATGTCCTAGTGCCTGGAGCCTGTGAAGGTCTAGATGGGAGAGAACAAGTTCAAATTGAATGCAAGCTAGTGGGAGTTGCTGCTTGCATAATGGAGTTCTCTTTTTGGTGTGTGTTATCCTTGAATAGGCACTATTATAGAGACTGTGTGGGGTGAAGCCCATGGCTATTTGGCATAACTCCTACAGTATTCTTTTAGAACTGTTATTCTATCTGTTTTCTATATTCACATGGAGTATACATATGTACCCTCAATATGCTGCCATCTATTTTCTTTCCCGTTCCCTTTCCTGAATTATAAATTGCCTTCCATGGATATAAGGCTACACATCAAAATCTGTTTCTCAGAAAGAAGCCCCTCAGGCGAAAGGCCACGTGTTAACGCTACATATTTGTAATCTAAACACCTTAATGGTATATGGGGCACCACAGCTATCACAATACTGTAGCTCCTTGTTTGGCAGGTTCTCTTGCTCAGAGCCTTTTTAGGATCCAGATCCATCTTCTGCCAAACCCATGCGTCACTTTTAATTGGCTTTTATATCAAAGTGATTTTCATCTTGTGTTATTCTCTTGATGCCACTGACCAATTAAACTTACAATATTTGACTATTTGGGAAGATTATGTTTAATTTAGATGTTTTAGGAGTAAAAAATTTGGTCCATCTTATTTTAAATATTTTAGATTGATTCCTTTCCATGTTGTGACATGGGGTGTTTACACTCCCCCAAATCTCTGACACATGCATAAATGCACATATTAATATATGAATTATCTTCCAGCTAGAAAACCTGTTGAGGAAGATGTATTTGCATGTGCTTAAAGTATTTGCATGTATTGCATGTACTTAAAGCCGAATACTACCAAAATATATCAAATAATAACTACAGCTCAGAGGGATAAAAGTGCAGACATCCAGAAAACATTCTATTTGAAAGAAGAAGAAGAGAAGGTTTTGTGAGAAAGTTCCAATGTCTTTCAAAAAATCATTTATGGTGTGATGAATAAAACATAGGAAAGCATTCTCTCTCCCCCTATCCCAAGTTCTATAAAAATGTGAGGATTATTTAAAAAAAAAGGCCACAAGCAAAGAAAAAGAATCTGATTTTAAAATGTTTGGGCTGCAGTGGGGGAGGGGCTTTTTGCCATAGTATCCTGAAACCAGAACTTCCATGTCAATATTTGCAATAGTTTAATCATCAACATATAATTTTCAATAGCTTTCTTTCCTAGCTTTTGTAGCTGTTCTGCACTTTTCCCTTCCTAATCAGGTAAGAGAACACAACATTTCTAATTTGCTGCAACAAATCAGAGACTGTTTCCTTTAAAGCTGCCTGTTTTTTTCTTTATTTTCTTCCTTTAACATGTACCTGGTTTCCTGAGCGACAAAGTTTCTGTTATTGGATGCCAATTGTTGTTTGATGAAATGAGCATAATCAACCGCTGTCAAAACAAAATAAAATACCATCTGTTCCTATAGGGTGCTTCAGTTAAAACATCAGTTTTAACAGGAGATTAAAAGGAAGTGGGCACTACTGCTTGCACTACTATTCTTCAGATGTTTCTTCACTTGGACACGCTGAATATATAGCCATTGCTAGTGCATCAGATCAGTGATAAAAAAAGATACTTCTATCTTCCTCAACATGCTAATTTTTCCTTTAAGAGCAAAATATGTGAGTTATTATTCCAGTATATTTAATTCTGGTTTTAGGCACTATCCAAATGGCCACAAAATAAATTTGGCTTTCGTTCCCTTTATTTCTAGATCTGTAGCCTTCTCAACTATTCCCCATATACACATAATTCTTATTGTCTAGTTCTCTCTTTCTCCTCTCAGTACTTGAGGAATATTTTGTTTAGTCTTGTTTCCTATGTATAGGTAACTGTCTCCAAATCAGTATATTCCACTATTCATTTTGGATATAAAATGGCTAGAATTTTCTTGGGGCCAAGCTTGATTTTCCTAATCTGCTGCTTCATCATCTTTTCACATTCGTTATCAGGTACCTATTATTCATTACTAACAATCACAATGTGGATCATGTATTAACAACCTTAGTTAATATTTAAACCCATATGTTTCTGATTGTTACTTTAAGAACAATGCTATTTTAATTTCATAAGTGTTGTTTTGAGATGAATTTTGAAGATGAAACGCAGTCACATGTTTTTAAATATATTTCATTTATGGATTTCTCCCCCCCCCCATATTTAAGCCCAGGAGAAATGTCCAAACATGTCCCCCAGTTTAGCCCTGCAGTATTCTGTATATGCAATATGTTCAGTGTGAATATAAATATATATTTTACCCTGAACTGAAGAAATTGGAATACTTAGTGATATATTACTCTTTAACTACAGTATTTGTGAAAAAAGAGAAGGCAAATCAGGTTCTGAGGATTCAGAAACGTGCTAACACTTTCTTGGAGGAGATTCTCCCAGGAAATTTGGAGAGAGAATGCAGAGAGGAACAGTGTTCATTTGAGGAGGCAAAAGAGATTTTCAAATCAAATGAGAAAACGGTAAGCAATGGAATTGTAGGGACATCTGACTATTTTGTGCAAGTGTAAGAGGAAAGTGCGTCTATCGAAATATCCCATAGAAAGTGCTGGTTCCTCAAAATAGCCACATTCATGGAAACTACTGTTTTGTTTGTTTTATTGTTATTGTTGTTTGTGCTTTCAAGTCAGTGTTGACACCTGGTAACTGCCTGGACAAGTCCTTTTAGTTTTCTTGACAAGAGTTTTTCAGAAATGGTTTGCCATTGCCTCCTTCCTAGGGCTGAGAGAAAGTAACTGGCCCAAAGTCATCCAGACGGCGTTGTGATAAGGCAGAACTAGAACTCACAGACTCCTAATTTCCAGCATGGTGCCTTAACTACTATACCAAGCTGGTTCTCGGATACCACTGTAGTTATTATTACAACATTTAAAATTAGCAATAATTTGGAACATTAAAATCAATAAATACAAGAATTACACATACAATGTTTGTCTGCTACTCAGATTCACTGCTTTGAGAAGGGCAGTTATACAAACTGAATAAATAAGTAAAATACAAGAGCAATCTTTTGGCTTTCAGTGGCTGGAATAAATATTTCTATTTCTTTAAAGAGTCAGCAAAAAATCCTCACGTATTTAAAATGGAGTTGTATACATACTTCTCCAGCTGAAATCATGATTTCTTGTCATTCGTCCTTCACCTCCTACAGGTCTTATAGGATGTCACACACTAAAGAGATATGGGAATATTTTGGACGTGTTTCTTATAGCCCAAACCCTCTTTGAACCGGTCAGCTGTGTTATATAACAAGGAAATGATGAGGCAAAGCATTAATACAACAGAGTATAATAATCTATATCAGTCTGTATTAGCTTCAAGGTTGTGGAAACTATATTATTTTTTAATAAAAGACTGGTTCAAAAGTCTTAACCTAAGAAAAAAATTCTGCACTCAGCAATTTGCTTCAAATGCCAAATCTGAACAGTGCTCAGACTAATCTTGCTATGCTTAATTACACTCGTTTTTTGAGGCTGAAGGAGAATCATTTCAACCAGATACCTCCTACAAATACAGACACACTTAACAGCATTAATAAGTAAATAATAAATTAATAGCAGCTAGTAAGTAGAGTCTTACTTTGGAGCAAACTGCTATTTAAGTTACTACAGGCCCTTTCTGTAATACAATCCACAAAGGACTACTCCGTCTTAAAAAAAATCCAGGCCTTTTAGAGCTTTTTGTTTTATAATCTTGTATATGTATACATATACGTATACATATACATATATGGGTGTATGTATATAAGTTAGAATAATTGAGAAATGGGTACCATATATATTTGTATATTCATGATGCAAATCCTCATAATCTATGCCAGTGGTGGCGAACCTATGGCACGGGTGCCAGAGGCGGCACTCAGAGCCCTCTCTGGGGCATGCGTGCCATTGCCCCAGTCCTCGGCCTTCAGCTGGGTTTTACAAAACCTTTTCCCTTTAGGCCTCCGCCGCCATGTGCAAAAAAAAAAAGGTTCAATCAATCAGTCAATTTCAACTTCTTGCGAGAAAAAAAATCTTGCAAAGTTGGAATTGATTGAACTTTTTAGCTCCACCCAGTCTGCCATTACCACTGCAGCCACGCCCACCCAATGGGCCACACCCACCAGGCACCCGATGATGCATAAGTGGGTTTTGGGTTGCAGTTTGGGCACTCGGTCTCTAAAAGGTTCGCCATCACTGATCTATGTAAATCAGAGAGCCAAATCCACCTTCCTGTCCAAAACTTTTCTATAGAACCAGGCTGATTTTAAATCATATGTGTCTTAATTATTTACGTTGAAATGTTTAAGTTAATTTATAAGAGTGCTTTGGCCTAATCACCTGTTTTATTTTTTATTTATTTTGCAGATGGAGTTTTGGTTCGATTACAAAAGTAAAGATTTTGCTCATATTCTGTGTATTCTGCACAAATAATTGTTATAAACACCTATGTTAACTTTTCAATACATTTGAAATCTATTGAAGATTTTGCTTTTGTTCTGGCAAGAATTTTATTTACTTGACAGAATTATTTTAATGTATTATTCATATAATGAACTGTTATAGTTTTCCTCCATTGTCCATTAATCTATTGTATTCTCATGTCTTATTTTATTGACATTATTATTTTTGTTGTTATTTATTATTTTATTATTTTAGATTATGTAGTGTGTTATTGAAACTGAAGTGGGTAAGAAAATACTTTAATGCATAAATAAGAAATTACTTCAAATACTTATCTGGATTTGATTTCTATCATCAAATCTCTTTTTCCAAACAGATTTCAACCCCTGTAAAGAAAATACATGTAAAAATGGTGGAATATGTAAAGTCAGCCACTACACATATTCCTGTACGTGTCCCCCAAGGTATGGAGGAAATCAGTGTGAAATAGGTGAGTGGAGAATAACATTAGCCTACCTGCTGTTGTAACATTTTATGGA